TGCCATCTCAGTGCACCCCTGGGGTGAGCCCTGCATGGCAGGCCCGTGGATCAAACCCTTGGCTCCTGAGTCTGCTTGCAGGCACTTTAATCTGCTGAGCTATTTGGTTGGCCCCCAAGGTCTTCTTGACTTGATGGTTTGTGTTAAGAAATTTGACATGATTATGATGTGGTTTCCATTGTAGGTGATCTTTTTCCTGTTTCTAGCAGCTTTTCATATTCTATTCATTTGCTGAATTTCTGAGATCTTGATTATTATGTGACTAGGTATAAATTTATTTTGATTATGGCTGTTTGTAGTTCTATATGCCTTGCTTGTGTGTATGTCAGGTTCTTATGTTTATAAAATTTTCTGCTAGTATTTCTGCAAATACCCTTTTTATGTTATTTGTAGTGTCTCCTGCTATTTCATGAACACCTATTATTCTTACATTATTTTTCTTTGTGTTGTCTTGTAGCTGCTGAATTTTATTTACTGGTTCCTTATAAGTTTTGAGAGATTTTCCCTTCACATTATTTAGTTGCAGTACTGGATTTGACATCTGAAGGTTTATCTTCAGTTTCATTCACGCTGGTTTGGTCAACTTTCAATGGAATTGTCAATTTCTTGGATATTCTTTCATGCATTCTAATTTTTTCTGTATTGTTCTTTCAGTGTTTCCATAATTTTTCTATTCCTCTCTATTTTTTTTATCTATGTCATTAGCTGTGCTGAGCAATTCTTTCATGATTGTTGGCCTTTCTTTTTTGACCTGAGAGATTATTTCAGATTTTATTTCTTCTATAACCTCATGGACTTGTTTCTTTACTTCAGTTGCTATCATTTCCGAGATTTCAGATGTGTGATTTCCAAGTTCTTGTATGTCATTGTGTCCTAGATTTGTTCTGAGTGAGCTGGAGGATTGAGATTGTTTTTTAAATTTTATTTATTTATGTGTGTGTGTGTGTGTGTGTGTGTGTGTGTGTGTGGCCAGCTCAGCCCACCAGGGGGCGGGGCTGGCTGGCATGTGGTGCTGGGGGATTGAACCGCGGTCCCTGTGCTTTGCTAAGCTTGTTCTAAGTAGGTGCTTTAGACCACTGAGCCATCTCACCAGCCCCTTGAGATTGTTTTTTTGACCCTGTGTTTTGGCATTTTAGAAGCTTTCAGTAATTACTCAGACTTCACAGTGGTGGGTGAGTTATGAGGCCGGTGTTGTTAAGGTTTCTGCTATAGTAGGGAGCAGCACAGGACTTACTAAGGCTCTCAGTACTAGTGCAGGTGACTAGCTGATACTCAATGAAGCTTCAGTGTAGGTGGCCGCTATTTGTCAAATTCACCAGGATCCCATGGGCCATCCAGAATCTTTCTAAATTCTTAAAAGTTTGGACCAGTGCCAGTACACATTCCACACTTGTGCCCTGAGGCAAAGGGGTGCAGCTTGCCAGAGTCCTGCTAAGTTGTTCAATGGATCTACTAGCACTAGGAAAACTCCCTGCCTGCACATGCTGGGCTCACAGATCACAGCTCTCCGAATCCCTTGGGCCTCTTAGAGTCCTCTTAAGTTCTTTTTTTTTTTTTTTTTTTTTGGATTTCTTTATTTTTTTTTTTTTTTTTTTTTATTTTATTTTTTTTTTTTTTTTTTTACATTTCAGAGCATTACACAATTACATTTCTCATTTTCTGACCTGCAAACAGATACCTTAAATGGAAATACTTTTTTTTAAAAATTATCAAATTAGGTACATCCAAAATGCAACAATTACACATATGACAATTAATACACAAAGTGTAATTTACTAGGACGAATCCTAAGAATT